GCTGTCCACTATCTCCACTTCTCTTTAACATAGTGCTTGAAACTCTTGCAAGAGCAATAAGAGGAGGAAATTAAATGAGAAATAATTGAAAAAGAAGAGATCAAATTATCCCTTTTTGCAGATGATATATTATACCTAAGAGATGCCAAAAATTCCACTGCTGCTAGAAATTATTAACATATTCAGTAAAGTGGCAGGTTACAAGATTAACCCACAAAAATCAGTAGCCTTTCTATATACTAATGACTAGCAATCAGAGAAAGAGCACATAGAAACACTCCCCTTCACAATGGCTGCAAAAAAAAAATCTCAGAATAAACCTGACCAAAGACATTTAAGAGCTCCACAAAGAAAATTTCAAATCTTTACAGAAAGAAATTGAGGAAGACATCAGAAGATGGAAGGACCTCCCATTCTCATGGTTTAGAAGAATGAATATTGTGAAAATGACCATCCTACCAAAAGTCATTTGTAGATTCAACGCAATGCCAATCAAAATCCCCATGACATTTTTCACAGAATTGGAAAAAACTATCCTAAGATTCATATGGAAGCAGAAAAGACCTTGGATAGCCAAAACAACCCTAAGCACTGAGAGCAATGCCGGAGGGATTACTATACCAGATTTCAAGCTGTATTACAGAGCTATAGTCTTAAAATCAACATGGTACTGGCACAAAAATAGACCCATAAATCAATGGAACAAAATTGAAGACCCAAATATGAGTAATTGCAATGTCAGCCACCTTATATTTGACAAAGGGGCCAGGAGTAGTCACTTGAGAAAAGATAGAATGTTCAGCAAATGGTGCTGGCAAAACTGGATCTCCACCTGTAGATGAATGAAACTAAACCCGTATCTTTCACCCTGCACAAAAGTCAACTCCAAATGGATCAAAGACCTCAATGTGAAGCCTGAAAGTGTGAAACTGTCAGAAGAAAACACTGGGAATAACCTACAAGATTTAGGTGTAGGAAAGGATTTTCTAAACCGGAATTCAACTGCCCAGGAAACAAGGTTAAGAATCAACACATGGGACCTCATTAAACTCAAAAGCTTCCATACATCAAAAGAAGCAACCAAGGAAGTGAAGAGAAAACCCACAGAATGGGAGAAAATCTTCAGCATTGACACGTCCAACAGAGGTTTAACATCCAGAATATATAACGAACTCAAAAAAGAAAGTATCAAGAAAGGAAGTAACCCAATTAAAGGATGGACTAAGGAGCTGAACAGAGTTCTCAAAAGAAGA